GGCACGCGGGAAGCGGATGCAGCCGGAGCCTGCGTCGGCGGCGAACAACAGTGGGCCACACTCTTCCAACGCTAAGTGGAAGGAGATTGCGTTCGTTCAATAGTTACCACGTTGGCTAATTAGGGATTCCGGGCGTGTCAACTGCTAAGGCCATTAGTTCCGCGCGTTTAGTGCATGCATGCGTTTATTGCAGAAGGTGGCTACTACGATCACGCCCGCTGGATGGCGAGATCCGGCGCCGACCTGCCGCCCGCCACCCGGGATTTCCCCAACCAGGTATCTCCAGCTAGCACGGCACCGCGCCTGTCGGTACAAGCTGTAAGTTCCCGACCGATCTCCCGTCATGTGTGGTAGTGTAGCGCATGTAAATGTGTTTAATGTGTTTAATGATGGAATTATTAATTTTTTTTTAAAAATTGCCCTTAGCATTTGTCACTTTAACATTGAAGCTCTTTCTTTTATCAGTTCCTTATTTATTGTTTCAATGCTCCTGAACTTGTTTATAAAATAACTGAAACTGAATGGAAATCGTAAGAAATGCGAAGTAGCAAGAAAAATTTATTTTCGTTGCATCTCTAAATTTGAGGATGGACATATGTCGATTTCTTTATCAAATTGTTTATGCGCAGTTTAGGCATTTGAAATTGCCTTCAGCAAGACGGTGTCGAAACAAGAAATTCCATCGTCTAAACCCACATTGCTTGCATACACCGCAAAATTTTCTGCCTAATGAAGAAAGGCATGGCCTGTACTAACTTCTCGTGGTCCAATATGTAGGCATGTGAACGGAACCTGACTGAAGTCGGACACCGACCTGCTTGTGCAGCAAAAGGAGAGACTTGAATTGGTTCTAAGTTGACTTGTGTATTTTCTCTCTTACTGGGTGCAGACCCACACAAGTCCGCTCTTATAAACATACATTTGAAATACGAGATGCGAAACCCCGCAGTTTTACTGGCTGTCAAACAACGTTGAGAAATACAAGCTAGGCGAAGGAGATTCTTCGAAAAGCTATTGTCTTCACACTAACAGATGGTTACAAGACCAAGCAGAATTCGTTTGCAGATAAGGATGTCAATACAGAATGCCGAATTGTTCATCTGGAAGTGTGCTTTCAAAGACAGTTTTTGACATATTTTGCAAAGACAAATGCTTCTTACAACACAAGCTATGTATGCTTTCGTAAAGTTCTAGCAGAATATGAAAAACAAGGAAATGAACTATGATTCATTTAAAAGCATTTTCCCTTTTACGCAATGTATCGGTTCGCAGCAAATTCATAGCGGGTAACATTAGTGGAACATGATTGTTCACTTTCTGATATCTTTCAGAACCAATGTTCGGACGTCACAACACTTTTAACACTGTATCTCTTTCGAAGAGTCCATTTTAAGAACATTTTAATTTTCCGTAGACCTTGATATGAAGTATAACCTATATTCAACATTGTATCCTAAACAACCCAATTATTTCTCTCTCTTGCAAAAGAAGTACTGAGGACTGATATCAACCAGGATTGTATAAAGGTAAACCTTTGAAATGTTAGGTGACGACAATATTGCAAGATCTTTTGAAGGTACTAACAAGATATTTCACTAAAGTGCCTTGGATTTTCATTGGCATGTTCCGAACATTTCCTGACTGTATTTTAACACATATAACTACATATGCCAGGGGACCGGTTAGGAGCTTCGAGATTGTCCATGCTTGGGTGCGTCCCACTGTACAGAGATACCTGGTTGGGGAAACCCCGTAAGCTGACATGTAGTTCGGTGAGGATCTCGCTATCCAGCGAGGGAAGATTACCCCTACATCCCGCAATAAAAAACATGCACTGTACTTAAGATGCTAATGACCATGGGAGATAAAGCGGACGGACACACTATTCAATGCATCAAATTGTACTTCAGAAAAAATGAATAGTATGGCTTCAATGGCGCGGTGAATCACTTGGCTGCCATTACGAGTGTCGAAAGTGAGGTTAATTGTGATAAAATGAGTTGAGTGAGCGATAATTTTTGGTTTCGTGGTTGATATTAATCGCATGTCGTGATGTGGTAGCTGTATCCTAATGTGCTAGAGGGCGAAGTACAACATAACATCATGTTCCTTTACACCGATATATATATATTTCAAATTGTAAATGGAGAAAAATTGTCTGATATCAAATGAAACCATTGTTCGACAAAAAAAGTCAAATCCAGAACAACATAGGAATATAACATTCAACACAACGAAAGCTTACAATAAAAGGAGAACTGATATTCCCAAAACAGTGAATTCACATCTAGCATTATATATATATATATATATATATATATATATATATATATATATATATATAAATTCCATACAAACTTGAAAAAATTACTTTTGTACAATAAAGTCAGTTTGCATGTCGGGGTATATATTTTGGGAACGTAGGAAAAAATTCACCGATTTTTCTCCAATAATAAATACCTTGACAGTAAGACATAACCAGATGACACAAATTCTAGAGAAAATGCAAACACAATCGAGTACATTTTTCTTTAAAACCGACCAAGTACGCTTAACTTACAACTTCCACGTTTTCTTCTAATCGTGACTTCAATGCATATTATCTTTAGATGCGTCATGATCATCGAGCGAAGATATTCCATTCTTTCATCTTTGCCGTAGTTCATCTGTGAGTTGCATGTGGTGACAAATAGCATTCTCTGTGACGTGTTCACCGAATATAGAGTTCACTGCTAGCTGATATATGTTTCTACATTCAGCAGTTGTCTAGCAGCGTTAATAGTGAAACAGATTTGTTCAGTTGCAAAAGATATCGTTATTTTTTTGTCAGTTTGTCGGCCACCAGTATTCTCAAAAGTTCATTTTGAAATATTTCGAAATAAATACAGATAGTATCCAGATATTGGAAGTAAAATACACTCTACCCAGGATTTTTTTATAGACTGATGGTATCTGATGGATATACTCACAAAACTCGCAGTTCAATAACACAGAGGACCTGCGAGTATTGATTTTGAGCGGATCAACTACTGAGGCCAGGAAATCCGCAAATAGAGTACAAGTTACAATCCGGATGTTGTGGTAGAACATGACATCCGGCACCGGCCGAGAGATCCGCTTGCGAGCGGGGGGGGGGTGAAACTCTGGCGGCGAGACGCGAACTCTAGGACCTCCCAGATAAGACATGCTGCAAGACATGCTTACCAGGGGAAAAAAACGTTGGAAAACTCCCACCACCTTATCCTTCTTTAAAATAACATTGTCCATAACCGCGAACTCACACTTTCAATTATTCGTGGGAACGTGTGCACGGCGGCACAGAATGGGCGAGGCGGGGTTTGGAGTGATCGATGGGACGGGTGGTGCGTTTGGTAGGGTGGGTGGGTGGGTTGGGTGGTGGGTGGTGGTCTGGATGTGGAGTGGGGTGGTGGTGTGGGGATGGGTGGAGTGGGATGGTGTGGATGGGTGGGGGGTGGGGTGCTAGAGAGCCACTGTCAGCGCAACGCCTCTTCGCCGACGCATCGGACGGCGTGCGTGGGCGGCACGCGTGGGCGGCAGGCCGAGGACGGCGTGGGGCGCGCTTGTGCGCTGGCACGCCGCAGCGCCTGGCCTCCCGCACGCCACGTTTGGATTCCCGCTCGGCGGCGCGGCGGCCGCACTCAGTAAACGCGGGGACGCGGACGGGGACGTTGGGAGCGGAGGGGCGTGCTGCGACAACGCCCATTCACCCGTCACACAAAGCCTTCAGCTGAACCGCGCACAAGAAACATTCCATTGCACAGACGCTAAAAATTTGACAGCTGGGCCCACTTCATAAAGACCAAGCCACCATGCCGTGTCAAATCACTTTTCGCTTAATCAAATGCTTTGCTTTCCCTTTCGGGTTCGATTTCCAACAGAATCAATAGGTTTTTTTCGTGTTTTTATTATGTTATTAATTTGGAGTTGCGATGTATCGCTATACGCCAAAATACAATTAATTTGAATGACGGAAAAGGAACCAATTTTACACTAAGAGTCACTTTTTTAACACATTATTTTTTGAAGTCTAACAGGTTGCATGATAATATTAAGAACTTTTAAAAATAGAAACCGAAAGCATTCTATCTACGTACGATTCCAGCAATACACGAGAATTTAAGGAAAAATAACGTTTTAGGTTTCGAGTTCTCTATTGAAACTGTTTTCAACGTTTGCGATTTCTGTTTAGTTTTGTCAGGTACCCGCCTGTCGAAGATGTCTCGCTACTCGCAGCAGAGGTTGCGGTCGAGGTGGATTCATCGACATTGCCTCGTTTAAAAAACCTCTTAAAAGTTCAATGGGCTCGTTCATTCCGCAAATGCAGTCTATCTCTCTGTCAATATCGAGATCTAGGTCGATGTCGCGTTCATGCGGTTCATAAAAAAAAAGTATTTCTATAACTCACCGAGACACACACACGCACATCTCTTACATTTCATTGGTTGGCTTACGCAGAGAGGCTAGTTCCCCCTTCAAACGTGATTCAATCTTTACAAAAAGTATTTAAAGGCTTCAGACTATAGGCTTTGCAAGTACGTGGAATTTCGCTTTGTTAGACGCGTGTAGATTTATACCATATTAATGCTGATAGACGTTATTCAAGATTGCGACCAAGACCTGTTCTTCATGTTCTACCATCATTGCTCGGTAAAGAACAATTTGTACAGCGAGCAGCGAGGATTCTTCGATGTGAGCGTAACCTTATCCAAAGTCAAAAGATCCCTAACATAAATCAGCTCCGTAATAAGCGTTATTAGAACATATGAGTTCTAAAGGACTCCTTTGATGGTTCTCCATTATCGTATTGTAATTTTGTAAGTAATTATTACTTTTGTAGGAGGAAAAATGTGCGGTTGTTGAACAGTCTCATCCATTTTATTGTGTTTTCCCGCTGAGGCGTTTCAAGATTGATAACACCGGTCCGGTTCTGAATTCGTTCAACGAAGTGTTTCTTCCCTGTATTGTTTCTGTAATTTTTTGAGGTCATTACCTTTGTCAATTTTAAACATAAACTGTGAAAAACAAGAGAGCCATAGTGACATCACTGACACGAAACAATTCTACGAAATAAACCTCGGATGCGCTGTGGGCACATGAGGTCTCCACAAGGCAACGCTTCCTCTTCGCCTCGACATTGCGCTGGTTTTTGTTGTAAATAGACTCAAATGAAGAGTGTTTGACACGTTCGGAAGAAACTGAGCCTCTCTGAGAACGTTGGCTCCCGCGGCCGGTGTCACTAGTGTACGGGATGCGCTGTGTCCCAGGCTCAGGTGCCGACGTTTCCACCGCCATTCTGCGGTCTTTATCGGTGCGGCAAGTAAATAATAAAAAAAGGTTTTATGAACTTATAAAGCAAATTTTAAAAAGAATTTATGAAGAGTCTTATCTAGCCATATGATTAATCTGCCTGTACTTTAATCTTTACTAGTACAGTACGTACCTTTGCTAGTAAACTTCTAAGGAATAATGTACTTTATATACACATTTACCTGTCTTTTAGGTTACACAATTCTTTTAATCAATATTGCGATATCTACCCTGCAGACTTTTACGAGCACGCCACCAGAGGAACTAACGACATGGACGTGACAAGCTCGGTAAATGTCGGCTAAATATATGACATCACTCATGCTCATGCGATGAATCACTGTAAATCAATACCTTGAATGTAATAAGACATTCCGAAAAGGGAACAAAGGTTTGCAAGTCAACGTCATTGACATACTTATGATTACGAGTGTAGTACATTTAGGGGAAATAATATCTGCGGAATTCTATCTGAATTACTCGTACTAAGAACAAATGAGATGAAATGAACATCCAGAAATAATAATAAATTAAGCAAAGTATACAAAATAATACAAATATAGTGTATAATGGCAAATCGATTCAAATATTCATCAAAAGTAGAATTTGAACGGAATTGAATATATGTTAAGATATCTAATAAGAGGCCGAATTCAGCAAACACGAGCACCTTTCTCAGAAATTATCACAGCCCAAATCAGCATATTTTGTTTTAATTAAACCCCAATGCAACTAGTCCGATTTTTTTCATTTTATTCTGTAGAACAAAACAACTTTGACATTACACTTGTTTCTTGGACTGAACACTGATTCATGAGTGGACAAGTGAATATGGAACTTTGAACATATCTTTAAAAAAGCTGAAAATATGCGTGATTTAATTACAACAGATCCGACTAGATTATGTTTCAATTGTTTGTGTTCTTGTGATGTATTATTCTTCAATTGTTTTTATTTCCTGGAATCTCTGAGCTTCCTATCTCTTACCACTTTCTGCTTCTTTCCACCGAACACGCACCACATTTATCTCCGCTTTATTTATTTTCTGATGTCACGCGAGTATTTTGAACAGAAGTTCTATCCGCCTAGCACAAGTTGTCGTTTTATCCTATTTAACTGCCATTACATATGTTTAACCACTATTAAAAAAGGGAAAATATTGAAGCATTTCTGATACTGAAAGTTTTGCACAGAAGTACAGACAGCGATAGAAAGCATTTCAACTCAATGTTTGTCAGTTTATCGAGTGAGGGTTGAATGAATCCAGAAAAGAACGTGTTTCGGTTTTATTTGCACCTTTTAATAAAATGCATGCTATTTTGAAACATTTACGTTTAGTTACAAGTAGGCATACAGTCGAAAGCGACTGGAATGCATTGTAGGAGTGCGGGAAAGTAAAACAGCCAGGAAAAGAGGATCCCTCCACTAGCATTGTATGCTCTGAATATCAGCATGCTTTATAGCTTGCCTTACGTTAGCCATTTGGTCAATGTCGATACATACAAAATACCCTGCGGTATTGTCGGTATCACAATGCAAGGATCCTTTCATGGTGGGTCTTATTATGAACATTGTCCACACGAAGACCACCGACATACTATCGATATCGATTCATGCAGACTGGTAACCTCCTTCAAAAGTTCATAATTATCGAAAATTTTGTAACCTTTACGTTTAATTAATTTTCAGTCACAGATAATATGATGATACTTCGGTATCTTTCATTCAATACCAAATTCTGAAACAACGGTTCAGTGGCAGTCTCAAATGAATGCCATGGCAAACACCAAAAATTATAAATATGGATACTCGTGTCAGTTATTACTATTGCATGTTTACGAAACTATCAACGGATATTATCCACTTACAGTTGTATCTTTAATAGTCCTTTAACAAACTCTTAATATGGGTTGAGCGCCTTGTTTCATTAGAACACGATTTCACATTGATCGCTCTAGTTGTGAACGGCAGAGGACTTCGAGGACAGTGTAGCTCATTAATGGCTCAACTTCCCCTCCTAGCGCTCCCCTTCTGCGAGCTCATTAGACTAACAAGCGGAACACATTCGCGGAGACGCCAAGTCCTTAAAACTGCAGAGATGCTCTACCCAATATCAAGTGATTCTTTTTTATTATCTTAATACCGAAGCAACACACGCTAGTATTTTCTACTCACTTCTGGCACGTTTACTTCTTTCACGTGATTGCTGAGCGTACAGACATAATTTCAATTTTTAGTAAACGCGTACTGATGAGATTTTCCCTTCCCCATCATTCGTAATGGACGCTGTTTATACAAAAAAGATACATTCTGGAAGAATCGCTGTACGAGAATAGGGATGATATCATGTCTTCACAGAAATAACAGATGATAAAATCTGTGCACTGATATCACAGAGATGAGGTCATAAAATGTGTGTACTGAATTCACAAATGATTCATTCGTTCACTGAAACTCCAGATGATAAACTATCCTAAAATCCCATCGACAACATTCACCTTCCTGAACACTTCCAACATTGTTATTTTACATACCCGTAAAAAACGAATTTTGCACTTCGACGATGTTAAAAGAGTTGAATTACTGGCTAAGAATTATTTTAAATAGAAGTTAATAACCAGAAAATGTTCAAGAAAGTTAAAAAAAAATGAATGGTATTTTTGGAAGACGATCTAGATAAATAACATATTTCCTTGCCCATAGCCACGCACCAATAATGTCACCATCTTCAGTAAATGGGTGTATTTTGGCTAGTGACGTTCAACTAGAATTAATAAACAGAATCAACATAATGGAATTTGACATGCTATGAGAGTCTTGTGTGAAGCACAAATTTAGTTATTTGAACCAAGTGGCATTTCACTGAAAAGTCTTTATAATTTTAAAATCTTAAATTTTAAATGAACCGATAAATATAAGAAAGTTACGTAAATGACGCTACAAATATTTAAAAAATATAGGAAACTAGAAATATAGGTATTTTTAATGTGTTAATTTGGATTCGCGTTTATTAATGAACTCTATTTTTGTAAATGTGAATATTTTAATATTTGAAATATTTTTAATTTTTTCTTATAAATAATAGCTAAATATTTTAGGCTAAAATGTTCGTATGTACATTCCCCTTTGAAACGACATCAGGATTATTCATTTTATGCACAAAATGGCACCATGCGAGGAGCACACCACGATTCATGATGACCATATTACAAGGTTTTCAAGTTTTCCTTAATGTTCTGTGGATACACTGAAGATAAGGTGAAATACTTCGAAACATGTCTGATGCTGTAACTGACAAATAGTTGGTTAATAATTTTGTTTGTGGAAGATTATTTCTTTTCATCCCGATGTATTACAATCATGGAGTTCCACAATATTTCTGCAGAAACCACTGAGTTTAAATACATCAAACTTTATACATATTTAAGCTTAAAAAATAATAATATATTTCTTGGCTTGTCGGGAACGCAATCTGTGATTTCACCGTTTATGATTTTCATGTATTTTTATTATTAATTCTCTATATTTCCGCATTTTGAAGTAGGCTTTCAAACATTAACTTAGTATTAGCACTGTTTAAAATCTCTTACATTTTAATTAATACATTTTTTTGGAAATCAAAACATTTTGAGAGATAAAAAATTTCAAAATTATTTTCTAATATAGATACGGATCATTATCCAACACTCGAAAAATCTTTATTAAAACTATAAAAAGTTTAAAACTTAAAGAGACTTTTTTGAAAAAATATTTTTTTCGCGTAGGAGGTGACCCTAATCCTCCTGCCATCCAAGTGAAATTTGTTGCGAGAAAAGCCAGTTCGGGACAGGTTTACACGTGGTTAGACCGTGGAACCTGCTTTTCATTACATTATTGTTCCATCATCACCTTACTCCCATCACTATTCATCACCTTATTTCCATCTCTATTCATCATATTACCTTCACCCCCATCCAAAGAGCAGAAAGCTCAGACGATGTTGACATGCCCGGGGGGAAGGGTGAGAAATAGAAAGGACAGGAATAAGGGTAGAAGAAAAATGAGAAGATGGAAGAATGAGAAAGATAATGGAAGAAAGAACCGGTGAATAATACGAAGAAAAGGTGGAAAGAAGACAGGAAAGAATATGGAAGATAGAGGAGGAGGATGGACGAAAATGGAGAAAGGAAACAATGGAATGAGTAATATAATTCGGAAATTCATAATACTTTACAACACAACTCACTTTTTGATACGGAAGTGATGAAGGTTTGGATGTGAAAGAATAGATTGAGTATGTAAGCTATCGCCTGGGAAGCTCATAGAGAAATTTACAAGTCTTTGAAAAATAAAAAAGTAAAAAAACGTGCGAGAAACAGAAAAATTGAACACCGCATTAACTGAATTGCCACATTAAAACCACTCTTCTAGAGTATTCTTACCATGTCAATGACCATCTGCATGAGCGATGACGGCTCTCACATCGGATCGTTTAACTACGTAATACGAGATGTTTCCGCTACTGACATGAAATGTGATATCGTCAATCTTAGATTTATTTACTGAACTCGCGATTAAAGTGTTGTATTTCATTTGATTTGTCATTGTTCGTATCAAAAGAAACACAAAGCAATCTGACGCATCACTTCCAGGATTCTACTTTCAACATTCTTTCTTTAAAGATATAGTACTTCGCAGGAATGAAAAGATAATTTTGAAGATGAAACATTGGCTTCAATCTTCTACTTGAAAAATGTTATACGTCGACGTATATTAAAAACGCCACTATTAAGGTCATGGAACAAAAGAATGTGTGTATAACTCATGAAGATAAGGCAGTCAGATCTAAATAGTTGATTGATTTAAAAATGCGTAATAAAAATGCGTTTATCTTAGAAACGATAAAAAATAATTCCCCTATTTCTTGGCGTGTTGGATAAATTTTGGAATTTATCGTAAAACAGTGGATATTTCACATCTCCTTGTTCTACTAGAAATTATTACTAAATCGGTCGTGATTTAGAAACCCACTTGGAAGAACAGAATTTATAATAGTACTCCAAGAATTTAAAATAATAAATGGGGATAAATATGACGAAAAAGAAGAGGAGAGTGAAAGAGAATTGACAATCCCTTCATTGAAATCGACCAACTCCAAATTCATTGGTAAACTAAAATAACTAAACAACATTCATTAGTAAACAAAAACGTACCACAAAAGCAAGATTGTGAAGCATCAAGTTAAACGAAGTCAAAGAATTCGTATCACACCGTTACTTTAGAAGTCAACTTGAACTCTAGCGGAATTTTCACATTTATTCTGAGGCGTTTGAAGTGCCGTCCGCCCAGAAAGCTATCAGCAAACTCTTTGTGGCGAAGAAACGGTAATTTGACCGAAGGAAAGCAACTAGGGAGGCGAATGCCCGTTTTAGGCAGCGTCTGCAGGAGTCGCCGCGACCCCTTGACCGGTGCGTCCGCTTCGCATGAGGAGAACCGTCGGACGCTGTTTGCCAGGGTACTTGGACAGCTGGCAGCAAACTCTCCTTTCAAGGAGACGCCCCCGCTGCTCCGTCGCCAACTTCTGCGCAGAACACATCCGAGTACTTGGCTGCCGACGTCGCACAAAGCCAAATTCCATGAGTGATGCTTGTGAGTTTTAGGAGGGCATTGAGTGCTCCGTACAATAATTGCTTTATTATCATTTTAGAAACATTAACTTTCTACAGACGTAACATTCTTGTAGCATTTGGTACCCAAGGTTCTGAATACCCTAAAATGAGAGTTCTAAGATACATTTAAGAACAGTTCAGATATCGAAATTAATATGTGATAATCACAAATATTTTGATGCGTAAGTAGTATAAAATAAATTCAAATGAACATAATTCATATAATAAAAGGTTGGTATATTAATTTTAACTGTTTTTGCTATTCTTGTTATTAGTCGCTTTTGACTGATTAGCCTTCATCAGATTTACCGCATAGGTATCAAGAATCGACCACATTAGCTAGGCAACGTCTTATGGTGCTCGAGTTCTGCATTCCACGCGGTGAACTGATTATGAAAAAGTTATTATGATGTAGCTTGTAATCCGATGAATAGAACTAACTTTGATAGTACCTGGAATTAAATTGCCAGTAACTTCTATCTAATATATCAAAATGAAAAAAAACCAACTTGGAATTATTAAAAAACACGAAATATCCAAAGTGACCCGCCCTACGCACAGACGCCTATTACACATTACACAGAGGTAGCTTTGTGAGTTTAACTCATCTCAAAATAAACAATAATGCCGATTAATTTGTGCAATCTGTTCAAGATTTTATCTTTTGGTATATGGAAATATAAGTTGTTTTTTTATAAATTTAAAACCGAAATTAACGTTGTACATAATAGACAACCAGAGAGAGTTGAGAGTTTACAATTAGTATACACGGGAAAACATTTAGTCATCATGCTTCGTGACGTAAAAAGATCTCCATCAGTTATATCTAGGACGTGCATTGAACGCTCACGTTAGAGCTCTCCTATAGCGAATAATCTGGTTAGAGCACTACCTCCTACCCGGAGAGTTTGGAACTGCTAGCGTTCGACTACGCGTTTGCTAAACGAGGAGGAAGTCCCGGCGTCTGGGTTATTCTGGAAAGGGCGTGGCCGCCACGAGCTTCGCTGGAGCTGGAACAAGCAACTTGAGCGGGGAAGGCGAAAAAATACGGCTGACATCACTTCGCCTACGCTTCTATGTGACTGCCATCGCTTGGTAGATCGTTTGGCAGCGAAAGCCGCGAGATGGTTAGCATGCAGACTGGCAACTCCTGAAACGTGTTCATCAGCTCTCACCATAGCTGGACTTGCAGTAAAGCACAATGGGTCAAGGAGATTTAAAAAAAAAAAGTCCGAAACTCTTTGATAAATGAACTTACGCTTTGCGAGACAAATTTAGCGCCTTTCGCTTTAAGCACCAAAGGCATTTTTGAGCGCAGGCGAGGGTGAAAACTTAACGTCTGTTAGAACCTCTCCTTTTGTAAACGATTACTACATTAGTGGTTCGTCACTGTCTTCCATTGAATGAGGATAATAGAAGAGGTGATTATGAGTTGTGAATTATTACGGATGGGATGGTTGTGATAATAAATGCTATAAATAAGACTTGTGGAAAGAGAAGACACACAAGTACATAGATTTTAAAAAAAATAAATAAATAAAAAAATAAAATAAAAAATCATCGGAACTTTCCACAGACTTCATCTCCGCAAACGTAGACGCTGCCTCATGTCCTTGTGCCACCCAGGCACGCCCCTATCAATAACAACAACAACAACAACAACAATAATAATAATAATAATAATAATAATAATAATAATAATAATAATAATAATAATAATAATAAGCCGGCTCATGGCGCAGACGGTTGCAGCAGCCGTCGTCTTCACTGAGGAGGCTTTATATTCGAATCCTGGGTAGGCGTGATCGTAGTTGTGAATTTCCCTTCACCCCCCATCATCATCCTATGAACTCACAATTCCTAATTCAAGGCGACCTCGACTTATCGATGGATACAGCTAAAAAGCTGATCCCATAGTTATACACGTTAATCGTGTAGCGTGGTCAGAAAAGGTTGATATGCAAATAATAATAATAACAATATCTTAATAATAATAAACAACAATAATCTATTTATTCTTGCGAGGATCATGTCGTAAGGTCTGGTCTTTCGGCTTACCACTTAACCCTCTGGTGGGAACATTGCCTGGCAGGCAGACCGATTTCGTTTTATTTATTTTTAAATCACTGGGAGTGCTATACGTACGCCAAGAGTCTTTACCCTCTTCAAGTGGTTCAGTATACTTATAATTAGGGGGTGGATTTTAATTAAATTGTCATTTTTTATTTTCACTTTAGAACAATGCCGTTTAGTATACTAATTCATTTTATGTTAAGACAAAATAAAATTACCCATTTTTATAGGTCATTTTTTTGTTGCGTTTTTCGTCGATTTCGATCAATAAGTAACTTTCTAGATTTTTACGTCGTTTTTAACGCATTATGGCAAGTTATTTCCTGGAACCACTCTGAAAGGTAAACTTCAACACGAACGGAAAGCAAAAACTCCAAAAATTCACTTTTATGATAACGTGGTTTAAGAATCATGCACTATTCTGCACCGCTGCAAGATGCAAAGAAAATATAGCGGTTTCGTTAGATAAATTTAATGCAGTTTGTAAGAGTATGCTTTGCCATTCATCATAATCATCAGTCACCACTTGAGAAACGCACTACAGAATCATGTGCACGATACAATAAATCAATGTGTCATCAAATAACCAATAAATCATCGCAGTCATTTACTTATTGTCTCTTCAACTTACGTGCGGAATTTGATTGATTGGTGGTTCCAGGCGCGTCAACTGCTAATGTTGTTAGTCCCGTTAGTGTAGCACATGTTTTTTTCCTCCGGAGGCCACGGTGATCTTCCCCCACTGGCTGGGGAGTTCCGGAGCCGACCTACCAGTAAGCTACCAGGTTTTCCCCAACCAGGTATCTCTCACGTACGGGGCACCACTCCAGCAGCAACAAGCTTTGAGCTTCCGATCGGTTTCCCGTTATGTGTGGGTGTAGTACACGTAAATGTGTGTGCAAGTAAGGGATGGGGATAGGGAAAAGGAAGGGGAAGGAAAGATCGCGCAAGATGCCTGAACCGTTCGTTTAGAGCACTTCTCCGGCATTCGCCTGGTTTTGAAACCCCGGAAAACTACCGATCAGAGCAGCCGACCGCTAGAATTCTCCTCCAGATAACGACTAAATTCGACCTAGCTGACAAGCTAGTATCGAAAATCTGGCACCGTTGTGAATCGAACCTTAGGACCTTTCGTTCAGAGGCACTTAGACATTGTTGATGTCCTGAGCCACATCGCCCAGTGTGTGAGGAGCTTTTATTGCATCCCAACTGAGAGTGCGCCAGCATGTTCATGTCTACGTCCACAGTCATTGTGAATGAGACGTTCATCTTCATGTTAAAATCACCTAGTATGTCTTCACGTCCATGTTAACGTTTTCATTGCAAATGACCCTTAAGTTAAGGGGGCTGACCTGAATGTGCTGGAGCCCGAGTGGCCCTTTGGCTGCCCTCTATGCCTCCGGTCGATCTGTGGGAGGAGGGCCAGTGTCTGGTTCTTGTCTGGCCTCCCTGACGCCATTACCAGTCGCCATGGCAACCCTCGCGTCATGCCCCACCTCTCCTCAGACGCGACGCACCGCGGGGAACAAGGTCTGACCTGAGGCAACTTCATCTCGGCGGCGGAGAAAAGCCGTTGTAAATGGATCACAGGCACAGCTTCGTCATTGGGCCCGTCGTCAATCTTTTTCCCGACTGTCACCCTGACCCTTGCTTCTCGCATCTAGAAACCAGGTTTCAAACGGTGTGAGGGCCTAATATTTGCGTAAACTATACGAAATTGACTGGCATATACACGCAGATCCAAAACTAAAATGTGTAAAATAAGTTCTTTTAAATTTATTTAATCAAGGAGAAAAATTGATTTTTATTTATAATTAACACTACTTACTACTGAATATTTATTAGGAGCATTATTAACGTTTCACATAAATAATAACACATACAAGTATTATTACATTCATGAATAGCGGAATGCTTGCTATGGTTGATATAACTTGCCTTGTAACTGCCCTGAAACTATCATATTTCCCAACTAGGTGAAGTACTTTAAGAGTCAAGTGATTAAGTCCTCGAATACGTTACATTTCCAGTGTTCATCTCACAAATTACATTATTCTATGCAGTCTCACACTTATGCAGGAAAATGCAGGCAATTGTTTTGTTCTCCTCTTATTAAAATCCGTTGATTAGTTCAACAATTATAAAGATTGAAAATCTCACAAGGCCAATGGCTGAAAGCCAAACATGTATTATCTTGGATACTAGAAATAAGATGAAAAAGGACACGAAGATAAACGAGTGTGCGTGAGAAAGTAAGGAGTGCACGCGGCCACATGCAGCCAGGCACGACGGTATGCTAATGAAAGTCTGCCCACGCGGAGAACAGTTGCACAGCGCTGCAGTGGGGCAGCAACGGCCTCGCGGATGCCGGGCTTCGCTGAAACGCGTTCAGGCTGCGCGCTGGGACATAACCCAAGCACCCGGCAAACTGCGCCACGCAAATGCATCCTGCCACGAGATGATGACGACTGCCCTGGACGGATAAAGCTTCTTCCTCAGACGCTTTAAGAAAGGAAGAGAGAGTGGGGAAGAAAGAAGGGAAGAGAAGGGGAGAAAGGAGTAGGAAATGAGAAGAGATATGATGGGAAGAAGGGGAATTTGAAGAGAGTTTGACGCAGGGGGAGTGAAGGCCAGACAGGGAGAATGATTATGAGAGAACAAAACGAGGGAAAATAACAGAAAATGGATTTTAACATCAAAATAAATTAATGAATTCAACTTCATGTTTACACTTCTTGATTTGGGAGATGAATATAGAGGTTTATCCAAGTTGAAGAAGAAGAAGAAGAAGAAATTTATTTGCCTAGATCGTAATAAACTAGAAATCAGCAGCCTTATCTCTACGAAGCCCACAAGCATGCTTCACATTTTTGGGACAGTTTACCTCGACCCTGACAATAAATCAGAAACTTCAGATGCAGTAGATAATTGTGACTATATTTCGTTATTTTATATCTTCCAGGTGACCTCCATAATTTCGGCCGGAGCCGGTTCACTAACACCGGAGAATATGAGATTACCTCCATAACAAATTTACGACGAGACGTCTACAGAGAAACGACAGAATCACATAATGAAAGACTCGGCTGATAGAGAAGTGTGCTTTCCAAATGTAGTACAGGAGAGCCCAGATCCAACCTCCTTCTAGTAGAATATGTATGAAATATAAGTATCAAATGGTATGGGTACAGCAACTTGTTTAAAAATGATACGGTAACAGAAACTAAGTTGAAATAGGACAGAGAGTTATGCATATAGGGACATGGGAATAAATGTCGTACATGCTACAAAAAAATGTTTCTCATCATATTTTTTTCGTTCATTAGTGTGTGATTGTATTACCGTGAACACTGAAATTCTTCACTTTCTTCAACCTTTTATAACAACTATAATTTTGAAGGTCGTTTCGATCTAAAATTTTTAATGTTTGAAAGTTATATATAAATCTTATATGTAAATCGTGCAACAAAAAAGAAATCACGGCAACACAATTTTTCATTCAAATCGATTATTTTTATTATCACTGAAATTAGTTCAAAAACAAATTCAGTAAACTAACGGGTCCAGTTTACTCGCAGTTTCAAGTACATCAACAAAACTTGCTCTTGGTATTTCAGTGATTTTGACACTAGTTAGATAGCTACGTTAAATTCATCCGCTGACTGGAGGAGAATTTTACAGGCCAGCTGCTCTGATTGGTAGTTTTCCGTTTCGTCCCCGATGAACACCAGGCGAACGCCTGAGCAGTACCCTAACAAACGGGCAACGGACCACGCTCGACCTTTTCTTTCTATTCCTACCCCTTATTTACACACACGTTTTCATACACTGTACTACCACACATGTCGGGAGACCAGTTAGCAGCTTAAAACTTGTCTCGGTAGGCATCGGGGAGGTGCCCTACTGATTGGAGACGCCTAGATCAGGAAAAACACGCAGGCCGACGTGTAGAGCGGCGCCAGATCTCTCCACCCAGAAGAGGAAGAAGACCACCGCCTCCCATGATAAAAACACGAACTACACTTGCTCGTGTAAAGATCAAAGCCGTTAACGTGCCATGAAACATGACATAATCAATCAATAAATTAACGCCGCCCGATTAATCGTGCATACTGTTCTAGGAGAAGGATGGCTCTGGCCTCCGAATGCCTTCCCAGGCGCGGCTTTTAGATAACAATAAAGTTAGAAACATCATGCCGAAAGGTTTTTTTCACAAAATACACTCCGTTGAATTTTGACAACTGCATATTTTAAAACTAATTCAAACCACAAATTACATTTCATTTCAAAAAGGACGCGCAAAAATATGGACATTCAAAAGTGAGAGTGCTGACTACGCGGACGATATAGACAAAAATTTTCTCACAAAATTTCCTCAAGGTCTCATGGCAATCAGCCAATAGACAGAGTCACTGTTCGCGCAATATCCGTGGAAGGAGAATGCGATATTCAATTCTCTCATATAATTCGAAGAAAACTATGTAAGTATAACCTTACGAAAAAAAGAATAGTATTATATGCATAGAATGTAGGTGTCAAATTACACGAGTACTACATCGAAACCTACGTATCGCTTTCCAAATATCCGACATCGAAACAAAACACCATGATATCAGGCAGGTGTACCGACTAAGCATGAACACCCACCCACTAAGCAAATACACTCACAAGTAGAGGTTCCCACTGTTTAGCTTATGAAGTTATATTTGTTCACAATATTTAATAATTATTAGTTTATTATTATACGTATTTAAATGAAAATGTTAAGAATCAGAACAGCGACAAAACCTGCCGCGAACCCGCAAATGTCACGCGGATCTACCGGGAACTAACATTGGTATCCACAAGCGGGTGGCGTGCTATCTGACCACTACATTGCGAATTGCTGGCTTGTAGAAAAATTCCTGTTTCTCGCGAGATTGGTGCCGCCGCAGAACTGGAACGTGGGGAGGGAACGGCGGCTGATCCATCGCAGCAACGAAAAGCGACACCGCTTGTTTACACGGCTTCCGCGGCTGCGCGAAGACGCCGCGCCGACCGCTGACGTCACTTCCCGCGCGATGCGACGGGGAAGGGGGCATGAGTCACCGGGCGATGCGACCTCGCGGAC